TGGTATTTGGTTGTACCAGTTGAGCTTAAGCTCTAAATTGTTTGGGGAATTAGCATTGCTTCATAGTGAGAAGAATCTGAATTAAATTATGTTTTATTCGGTATCATAAGCTTTTAGATGAAATGATAATGATAAAAAAAAAAATTTAAGACTGTGTTGTCTGATCAATTCAAAACTCGCATATCGTTTGAAAACAATCACCTCGATAATTTATCTCATCCCAATATATCATTACTAAAACTTTATTCTCAGTCATATCGTTGATCACACAGTTTGAAAATAGTCTTTATAATAATAAAGTTTCTTTGTTGGAGGGAATCACACAGTTTGAAAATAGTCACCCTAATAATTTTTCTTGTGCCAATATGTCGTCCCCAAAACTTGAGGTATTCTTCGTAGCCTCAGCCCAATTTAAACATTTTAGCAAGCGATAAATTATCTTGAAAATTTTATATAGCAACAGGGTGAGCACATAGAGCTTAGCAAGCGACTAACATGTCCATGACGAAAGATGACAGTTTCAAAACAAATAAAGTACCAAATACAAGGTAGGGATACAAGAGTTCATAGATAGCCACTTATCGAATGCAGATTTACAATGTCATTTCGTTCGAAGCATGTTTTGTTCATAACAATTGAGTAAAGATTAGTTGGAGCAAATTATTGACGTAAGGAGCATTTCGAGGCATATCAATAGCGTATAAAATATTACGGAGCATATTAATTGCATATGAAGCATTTCGGAGCATATCAAGGACGTATGAAATGTTTCGAAACATATCAATGGCGGATGAAACATTTTGGAACATATCAATGACGGATGAAATATCTCGAAGCATATCAATGGTGGATGAAACATTTAAGAACATATCAATGGCGTATGAAATGTTTCGGAGCATATCAATAACAAATGAAACATTTTGGAGTATATTAATGACATAGGAAGTATTTCGGAGCATATCAAATAACAAATACGAAATAGAAGTTCAAACATCGCATTTGATGTTGTATACATTCTATTCTTATCCAAAAGATATATAGAAACACATAACCAAAGTTCTGGATATCATATCAAACACATAGATGGAGAAGTAGGATTATAACATAATATGGTCCATCGAATGACCACCAAATATAATCTAGAGTATCGCGAGCTCTAAGCACATACCCTTTATCATTTCTGACAAAGGTCCAAATAATCTCTTTACCATTTCTGACAAAGTTTCATATTATCCCACAAACACCAGAGTATAAAAGGGCATTATGAACAATAAATTAAGACATATCGGAAACACATGCGGAATAACGAACTGCATGTGCTTATACGAAACATTATGATACAAACATGAACTTTACATAATAGATTCAGATAAACAAATAATTAAAGGACAAAAGTATGCAGGGACTCAAAGCAATAATGTAAAGCTCAACTGAAGTAAGGATGTTAGCTGAAAATAATTTCCAAAGAAATGAAACAAGAATAGGCAGAATCGATCAAAACTCGATTATGATAGAATTTGAGAGGCACATTGCATGAATTATTTAAATAACCAATTATACTCCAATTTGCACAAATTAGATATCATTCGAAAGATGTATCAATCTAGATTTAGATAAATTAAGTTTTGTATGAATTAGAGATTCCAACATTGAGTTATCAATAGTTTAGTAACCAAAGGTCAGAGAACATTATCTTGTGTTGCATAATTCATAAAGTTGATTTGAACAAATGTTTGAATAGGCATTTATGCTCCAAATCTTTT